TGTCGAACACCTGCAGTACGCCACGGTTAAGTGCGAGGCCCACAAAAACGCGCACACAACCGCTGGACCGCCTGAACGATGCCACACCGCTACAGTGTACTAGAAGACGGTAGCACCGCACTACATCAACAATAACAAAGCGCCGCCATTGTTTTCACTTAATATGGCCGCTGTGACGTATTTACACCAAATTTTTTACGCCCTGCGCCGGCTGGGCATGCCCTCTAATACCTTTCCTTCCTCCGTGATGCGCCATGGCAGCTTATCTCCGCTAGGAGGCCAATGGTTGCAGCGTTGTTTATGGCCGCGCGGACGCATGGCCCCAGTTTCCCAGCGATCTTGCGACGCATCTGTTTGGGGACGCATCTGTCTGTTTGGGTCCTTGGTACGCAAGCCGCTTGGGTACCCAGCACTAAAACTTTCTGTTAGTTTTACGTACAGTTTCCAATCGCACGTTTTCTTCCAAGCAGCGCTGGTGTTGCTGAAGACTGGCAGGTCGCCGGTGTCACTTTCGAGGTGGTTATATGAAGTGATTAGAGTCCCACTTTCGCTGTTATCAATCGCACACAAATTCTAGGCGATTGCATATGCGGAAAACAGAATATTTCACGATGCAGCACTGTCTTCGCTTTTCTCTGTTTGATGAATACAGATCGCCTCACGAACACGCACTCAAACTCGCTCACAAGCTTCCATGTGAACTTGGTGCAACCGAGTGACGCCATCGCTGTTTACCGGGGCAGAGAAAAGGTGAAATGGCACCAGAAAACTCGAAACAGCAAAGAACGAAAAACTTACACGAGTGATCCTTTCTAACAGTAATGCGAACAATCCTGAACATAACATTTACATCTTTTCTGTTTATATTACCCAATATGCTACGCAGTATAGAAAAGTTAGCGTTCGTGGACTACATGCAGAAGCGTAGTAAAAAAGGGCGTGCTAGGGTTTCGTAGCCTTGGGCTGTGCTGCCACAAAAAGTTGTCGCCGAGTATAGACGCATACGCCGCCTATCGTTTCATGTACACATAAAAAGGCGAGACTTTCTTGCGTGTTCAAAAACGCGAACTCCCAACGAATAAATTAACGGAAATACGTATACCCTAATAGTGTGAGCGGCGCCCTGTCTCAAATAGCTCCACGTAGAAAATAAAAGAAGAACGTCTGTACGTCACTATAAAAATACAGCCGCTGTTGTGGAACTACATTCACTGGCAATAGGATCTACGCAATTTGTCTCTATAGCCTTCGCTTCAATGCCAAAAAAAATTGTCGCCGAGTATAGAATATATATTCTTGTGCACTATACTAAAGCCATTTCCTGGGCGACTTTATCAAAATAAATTCCCCGCCAAATACACAAAAAGAATTATGTTAGAGGAAATCGCTCGGATATGATCAGGTAACCCGTAAATCTTCCGTACAGCCGCGGCCTGGTCTTTGTAGAGCACGCGAGCAGCCGGTCTTTGCTCTGCGGGGAAAAATCTTGAAGCAGTATCGGGCTCTGACATGGTCAGCTTGAGATTTATAGGCTACACGTGCTCCTGATACACGACGTCAATAGTGCCTCGAGGTGTCACAACGCCGGCGGAAATGACGGCTTGGTGGCGTTAGCCACCACCCGATTTAAAGGGTACAGCCATACCAATCTATCCATCCATCCATCCATGGTGTGCACGTTAAAGAACCCCACATGGTCCAAATAACACCCCGCTGGTGCATTTGAGGTATAATTATTAATAAAGTTACGGCCCCCCCCCCCAACTACGGCATCTCTCATAATCATATAATAGCTTTGGGACGTGAAACCGCACATATAAATTAAAGAAATCACCAGAGAGCCAACGTCTTGAGTGGTCGCCTCGTCGATTGAGCATTTCTGAAATCACCGACGCCCCCACCGGACAACGCATGAACGTAAACAACTTGTCGAGCAAGGTCCTAAAAAAGGTGTGGATTGTTGCGTGCTCACTAAACAACGATAGCTGTCGGGTTGGACTTATTGCCGCTGTGGCTACACCAGATGAAGTTGCACCGAGGTGGTTTAAAAAACACACGAGTGTGTATTGAGGATTTTTTTTCAAGAGCCTCTAACTGAGGGTGAATAAAATTTGGGGGGATGTTATTGTCCCTTTTCTGGACGCAGTATTTCCTTCCGAAACCACTCTCTCGTATTTCATGATAGGAAAATTCAACGTCTTCCAGAGCCACACGAAAATTCGTTGTACCTGATATTCACATCTTTCGTTTTGAGAGAACACCCTTATATGTTTCGACACGTCCATATATGATGGCGTACAACGCTTCGCGCACGCCACAACCGTGTTTTAACATGACAACGAAAAAAAAGCTCGTTTCACGAAAATTCTGGTGTCATTGTCGGCGTCATTGGTTGTGGGCGAAAAAATCACCATCTTGTCTATGACAAACAACTAAGAAAAACTCACACAAAATCAACGATAAAACTTTCCTCGTCTGAGTGAGAATCAAACACAGGCCGCTCGCGTAGCAAGCAGGTATTTTACACCACACAGGCACTCGTCTGCTTGGAAATTTAGCGAAAATAACTTCCGCTGCCTGGAAACAACGTTCGTGGTTTACAAACGCACGTGTCCTGTATACATGATTCACGTAATATCGCAGTAATATTGCGTGGTGCAAGCGTACATTACCATCGGTGGTCAGAACATGTGATTATTCATCATGAAGACTTCGTCAATTGAAGCCGGCCACCCATTGCAAAAGGCACGCGGCGCCGTGCACGTTTACTGTGCACAATACTATAAGAACACGTATCTGCATGGTATGTTCGAAACCATTTCGCGCGAATAATTTCTCGCGGTTTAAAGAATGCTACTCATTGCACTGAATGCAGCCTACGGCGAAAACTCCACTGACACAAGCCATTTTCAACTTTGTTCATTACATTGTAGTAACCCACGGCAATTTATTGCTCTCGAGTAATTTCATAGAATAGAAAGTATGCACTAGGGACAGGATATCACTGTCACAGTCAACTATTAAAGGTGAAACTTAAGGGCCACCATTTTTTTTTTACTTTCTCTATTTTCTTGTTTCAAATGCGCGTGCCTCTACATGTCCTATAGCACCAAGTCTGACAGCAGCTGTCAGTAGAGCGTTGACGTTTGTGTTTCAGTGTGACCCAAAAGGCAGCATTTTTTCGTTTTTAATCTTAGTGAGCGGCCGTGCAGAACCACGTAATGTGCAGAATGTATTCGGAGGTAGCGGCCGTGGTAATACAGTTCACTGAGAAGGAAGAAAAGACCTGCACTGTCGCGAAAGGTTAAGCAAATGCATTACGAACCCTGTGCGTTCCTTCACGTAAAATAACGGGCACTCTGCTATAGCAGAGCTGCACGTAACAATGATTTAGAGAACTTTGTACTTTACTACGGGAGAGCACAACGCCATGCCTATTGATGAAGTTATGGAAATATCGTTGTGTGTTTTCAGAAAAAGGGCTTAACGATTTAGAGTGTACTAGGTACTCTACTATGGGAGAGCATGAAGCCGTTCCGTAAGCCTCACACTTTATGAGACCATGTATTGAGAGTGTGTTTACTCAACTATGCATGAAGCCGAGGAAACTTGACCGGATCTCACACTAAAGGGCTGGATACTCAACGCTACGCTGACTCAGGTGAAGTTCGAAAACCCTTGTAGTTGCCCACGCTGTACTTGTTCATCTTACATAACTAATTCGCAACCAAGGCAACAGCAACTGGAAGGCCGCAACACAATACTCTTTTACCTACATTTCTACCTTTGAAACTGCCATATGTAAGGTGCCAGCCGCTTTTTGAAAACAGACTTATTTGCCTGAATGTTTCAACTGCTGTGTAACAGAGAAGTTTTCAGGGATATATAAGGGACATATAGTCAAGTTGGTAGCTCGCGCTTAAACTTTCCCTCTACATCTCCATCTGCAAATCCCGCAAAAACCTGGTTCCACTAATCGGGTCTTCGAGACCAGTCTTTGACATAAATAGCGTACACACACACACACACACACACACACACACACACACACACACACACACACACACACACACACACACACACACACACATATATATATATATATATATATATATATATTGAACAAAACATTTGTTAAATTCAGTTGTCTGTCATGACCTAAACATTGATATTACTTTCCAGTTGTATAGCTATTATTTGTAATCATGCCAAGTTACTCAGTGTATATCTATGCATGGTTCGATTGTAATCTTGTGTTTCATGCCAGCACGGGCCCGAGGAGGGCCTCCAGTGTATGTAAGTAAAGCAATAAAAAAAATTTCAACGCAAGCCAATGAACTTCAGAGAAAGACTAGTGCGTCGCGTTCCTTTGCGCGGCGCCTGCACTGTACAGACACTGCGTTTGAATAAGAACCGAATTCAAAGGGTGGGGTCAGTCACCCTCTAACGAACGCCGGTTTCGCGTTACATAGCCAGCTGCTCTGTCAAGTTCCTCTGCCGGGAGAGTGAGGGCATGCGACGCTCTGTCTCTCAAATTCCAACCGCTATCGTTCCGCGCAATCGCTTTGTGTTTCTCAGACAATATCGCCATTTACCGATGTAACCGCAGTGTGTTCGTTTGCATTGTCCCAACCCAGTTAGCTAGGTGCTCTTCCAACTAGAAGGTTCTCCCGCCAAATGTCGCACTTTTTTACAACAACACGGAGTTGTTAAACGAGTATGTTCCCTCGCACATTCCAATGACAGAATGTGTTATGTGGTGGCATTATGCATTTGTCACTGAACAAACACGTACTAGCTGCTACGAACAGTTGTTGACAATTTCTTTAGTTGTATATTAATTGTACAACATTTGTTCTTACCTCTTCTCTGCAATTACCCCTTAGGAGGCTGCGCTATCTACCAATGATTTAATTTATTGTTAACACGTTTACGACATCTCACTCCTTCTCGCTTCCACTAGGGCGATTGCATGGTTGCAATGAAACTGAATGGCATACCTGACCAAGACCTCCATAGCTGAGGGCGGCCGTTCCATGCTCGAAGAAAAGCGGCGGCTGCACGATGCCGGCTTCGATAGTCATTGTGTTCGTGATTGGCTGGTAGAAGGCGTTGGCTTCGCCCGTCGAGAAGTTGACCGTGTCTTTTCGGAAGAGGCGCTGCTTTATCAATCGGTGCGACTTCAACCATGGTGAGAAGAATTCCGTGCTGACATCCGGAAAGTCCGCTGCGTTGACGCAGATATTATGCCCGTGAGCTCGCTTCGTTCAACCTTTATTCACAGCGTGGGCAAGCGCGCGGTGTTTTAAGGGCGAAGCTCCTTTACGCTGTGCGTCGTCACGCGTCGTCGTCGCAGTAGCCACCTCTCGTTTAGTCCCTACAATGTCCGCTGGATGGTTGTAGATGATGAATATATGATGAAAAGATGCGAGATGGCGGTACTTAGAGTGCTGACTATAGATGGACAAAAGGACGGACGGAAGCATGAACGGACAGACACAATAACAGACAGATGAACGAACGGACGCACGCGCGGACGGGTGGACGGACGGACAGACGGACGGAGAGACGGACGGATGGACGCATGGACGGACGCAAGGACACTTGACCCCACTTATCATTCACTCTGTGGATATGCCGTGATTTTTTGTTGGTTTACATTGTGGGTTTGTTTATAGTGCGGCTCCGCGAGTTCTGCCTCTTTGCTCGCAGCAGCTGCTCTGTTTGGCAACACAACTGCTGACTCTATCTTGTCCCCGCCCCTGACTTCTCACTCCGCGCGCTCTGTGCTAAGTTATTCGTGCACTGCGCAATCTTTGCTATGCTGAATATAAGTAGGAGTCTTTCCCCTACCGAGAAAATTGGTGCAAGCGATGCATGACGTGCGCGTTCCCGAACTACTTTTGATAGATATGTGGGGTTTAGCATCCCGAAACCACCATATGATTATGAGAGACGCCGCAGTGGAGGGCTCAGGAAATTTCGACCGCCTGGGGTTCTTTAACGGGCACCCAAATCTGAGCACACGGGCCTACAACATTTCGCCTCCATCGGAAATGCAGCCGCCAACGCTGTGATTCGAGCCCACGACCTGCGGGTCAGCAGCCCAGTACTTTAGCCACTAGACCACCACGGCGGGGCCGTTCCTGAAATACTAATGCTCTATTTTTATATTTTTTCTTCCTTTTTTTCATTATTGTGAAGTGCTCCTTCCCAACTTTTGGGGGCGAAGCTCCTTATGCCGTGGGTCATGCGTCCGCGATGTATGTATGTATGTATGTATGTATGTATGTATGTATGTATGTATGTATGTATGTATGTATGTATGTATGTATGTATGTATGTATGTATGTATGTATGTATGTATGTATGTATGTATGTATGTATGTATGTATGTAGTAGTAGTAGTAGTAGTAGTAGTAGTAGTAGTAGGTAGCCACCTCCACGGCCCGACTAGAGGAGTGTCACGCACGCACTCTTTTCAGACGAGGAGGAAACCCGCGCACGTTAATCATAAATAAAGAAGATATAGTTGCTTAAGATAAATTACCTTACAGAGACGAGTATTGGTGACTTAATTTTCAATAAAATTTGCCTTGAATCTGATGCTTACAAAAAAAAAACTTGTATCAGATGGAGGAGCACGCTGCGAGCGCCGACGAGTGCAGACGCGCTTCACGTCGGCTCCTGCTTTCATGAACAACTTCGCAGTGAAAATCACCACGTGCATTTCTTAGAGTGATATCACAGGATTTGCCTCGTCATCCAGATTCTCAGGATACCAAAGACAAGGTGGGTCATCCGTTTTTCGTCTTTTTATGGCCTTTTCTCGGTGCACACCGCACGAGATGCTGTTAAGCCTCGCGAAACAGGCCGGGTTCCTCAAGGAGCCAGCGCTGTAAACCTAATGGAATCCACCACGTCGGCAAGCGAAGCGCAAGACACTGAGGCTGATCCGAGGACGATGGACGTACAACATGATGATGATGAATCGCCAGCCACTACCGAGGGTGAAGAAGGCTGGCACACCGTCTACTACGGACGTCGTCGAAAGCCCGGACATGAATCGGTCAGGGACGCTGACGGCGTCCATGGTGCTAACAACAAGGTAAAACCCGGCTTTGGTAACACGCAAGCCAAAACGTAGGAAATACGGATGAGCCGCATTTAAAAGGCGAGCAGAATGCCCAAGCTGCCGGTGGGAGACTACAAAATTGTCATCCGACCGAGAGGAGGCCTACGCGTAGCCGCACTCGGCCCAACTGATATAACCAGAGGCATACATGAAGCCGCGGCTACACCACTAGAAGTCCGGCACTTCGACGTGACATGCCCCAACAAGACACAGAACATCATGATAGTGAGCACACCAGACCCCGACCGAGCTGACCAGTACAGAAAAATCAAGAATATACTTATACGAGGCAAAGAATATGAAGTGGCAGCGTATGAAACAGCACCAGAAGATAGAGCCAAGGGTATCATTAAAAGAATCCCGCTGGAAGAAACTCCTGGTAACATTAGGGCGGCCCTTGTCACTAAAAGAAACCACAGCATCATCACGGTGAAACGACTGGGGAATACTACAACGGTCATTGTGCTCTTCAGTGAAAACAAGGTACCCTCCAGTGTGTGCTATGATAATAATAATACCGTGCACGCTATACCGCAAGCAAATTGACTACTGCAAGCAGTGCAACAGACTTGGACATAGAAGTGATGTGTGCCCCAACCCCCAAGATAAACTTTGTGCTGGTTGCGGCATTCACAAACCCAAAGATGACCACAGATGCGACCCTAGTTGTCAAATATGTGGAAAAGATCACGTTACAGCCCATAAAAGCTGTACGGCCAGGTTTAAGAAACCTTACATTGTAAAACAGAGACAATGAGCCAGACTACGAGAACATCAAAGCGAAGCTCATCTCCATCAAGAGGACGTCCACGAGAGTGCTCGACATCGAGACACAGAAAATGACAGCAAACAAGATCCCGCTCCGGTTCAAGGAACCGCAGCCCTGCAAGCTCCCAGCCCAGTTCCAGGTCGGGATTGGCGTCTAAGGGACCAACAAAGAAGGTGAGCTGGGCAGATAGAGTACGCGGCTTGCAACCAGAGGGGCCTCAGGAGGTCTAAAATAATAACGGTAGCAATAACAACAACAGTCAAGAGTTAGAGCGGCTTAAAGATAAAAACAGACGAATGAAAGAAATGATAGAAAAGATGCAAGCTCAAATAGAA